TTGACTCCTTTCTTTCTCACATAAATTAACCTACCAGCAAGCCTTATCTCCTCTATCATGAAATATATCCAGAATTTGGCATTCTCTCACCATCAGCCACTATCCACCCTGGTTTAAATTGCCATCACCTCTCACCTGGAACATTGTAGAGGTCTCATAATTAAACTCCCTGTATTCACTTTTGACCCCCTAAGTCTATTCTAAGGTCTAAAACTCAATAAGTGATCACTATAAAACATAAATCAGGCCCTAAATGGTTTGGCTCAGTGGATGGAGCATTGGCCTGCAGACTCAAGGATCCCAGGTTCGATTCCGGTCAAGGGCATGTACCTTGGTTGCAGGCACACCCCCCGTAGAGGGTGTGCAGGAGGCAGCTGATAGATGTTTCTCTCTCATCGGTGTTTCTCTCTACCCCTCTCCCTTCCTCTCTGTAAAAAATCAATAAAATATATTTTTTAAAAAAAACATAAATCAGGTGATGACAACCTGTGCCCATTCTCCAATGGGCCCAGCCAGTGTGGCTCAGAGATGATTCAATTCCTGGTCAAGCATATGCCCAGGTTGCAGGTGCGATCCCCAATGTGGGGCATGCAGGAGGCAACCAATCAATGATTCTCTCTCATCATTAATGTTTTTCTCTCTCTCTCCCTCTCCCTTCCTCTCTGAAATCAATAAAAATATATATTTTTTAAAATTCTCCAATGGCTTCCTATCTCAGAGTAGAAGCCAAAATCTATGCAAGACCCTACCCCAGGGGTCCTCAAACTTTTTAAACAGAGGGCCAGTTCACTGTCCCTCAGACCGTTGGAGGGACGGACTATAGTTCAAAAAAAAATGATGAACAAATTCCTATGCACACTGCACATATCTTATTTTGAAGTAAAAAAACAAAATGGGAACAAACACAATATTTGTATTTGCATGTGGCCCGCGGGCCGTAGTTTGAGGACCCCTGCCCTACCCAACCCTGTATTACCTAGCTCCCCACTAATTGTCTGATCTCATTTACTACCATGCCCCCCTCTCTCAGTTAATTCTACATTAGTCTCCTTGCTGTTCTCAGAACATGCCTCAGTATTCTATTGCCGCAGGTCCTTTGCACTTATTTCTTCTGCCTGGAAAGGTCTTTCCCCCAGATATGCATTATATAAAATGCCCGCCCCCAATTCTACCTTAGTTCCCTATCCCAACTCAACCAGGCATTCCCCATCTTTCTTTCCTTCCTTGATGTTCTTTCATCACCTGACATTACACAGTTATGTGTTTACTTGCATATTATGTGTCTTCCCCAACTAAAATGAATGCTTCATGAGGATGGATCATGTTATTTTTACCACTGGCTTCCCTGCCTATAATGTGCCTGGCACGTTGAAAAAAAGACTCAAAAAATATATATTTAGAAATATATATGTCTAAAGTAGGTCAACCATGAAAACACAGAGAGAGGAAAAAAACACGCATTGCAGCCATTGTCCATTCAAACAGAGCCCAGGGGAAAAAAAGGAGCCCAAAGAGATTGCAAAAATATCCTCACTTCTTCCCCTTCTTGGATCCATGTTCTTTGTAATGTGATGATGTTGCTCCTCCCATCAAGAAGTGGAGTCTACTCCCTCCTCCTTCACTCTGGGCTGGCCTTGTGACTAGCTTTTGTCAATAGACAAGGATGAGGCGACAGTATGTCAGCTAAAAGCTTGGGTCTCAAAGGCCATGCAAGTGTCCACTCTGTCTTAGACTCTGACCTTACATTTGAACATGTTGGGGTCATGTGTTGGAGGATGAGAGACCACATGGAGCAGAGTCACGTCATCCCAGCTGAGGCTATCCTGAAGCAGCCAGTTCTCGGCCACACCATCAACAGGCCAAAGTCACATGAGCATACCCAGATGAGATCAACCAAGCACAACCCAGATCTCCCCAGCCGACCCATAGACATGTGAGAAAATATTAAATGGTTGCTGTCTTCAGCCACTAACTTTTGGGGTAGTTTGTTCTGTAGTCCCAATAGCAAGATCACCCATAACGTGTGTGATCAGTCCTTCGAGTGGGCATCTCAGCTCTTTGCCCTGATTACATGTTCACCAAGGAAACCTTCTTGTGGTTACGTTCTCATGAAGGGAAGTCTGCAGGAAGGAGACACACCAGCCATGCCACACAGTGCCTCGGCCACTGCAAATCAATAGAATGGCATGTAGGTGAGCAAGGTCACTGCCGTGTGACCCACAGAGACAGATCAGGTTTCTGAGGCAGCACGACTAAAAGCCAGATCTTAGGTGGGGTAAATTCACAGAGGTAAATGTTATCTTCTGAGGTGACTTAGCGGACACCCAGCCAGCCACCCTGACCATGACCCAGCCTCGCCACATCCTATGTCACAGAAACTTGGACTGAGTTCTCAAGCATCCGGCCCTATTTCCATCCATGAAACACTCTGCGGTAGCCCTACTGCACAGGGATGCAGGATCCATCCTGTGGGTGGAGCTCTCAAATCCCAAAACCATACTCTTTGGAGGAACAAAGTCTCAAAGGGGCAGAGCAGCAAACTCATCCTCATATTAAGCCTATGAGCTCAAATAAACTCATCATATCATGTTATATATATGCATTCCGTGGTACACCAAAGGTCTATGCATTTCCAATTGATTCCAACACCTTTCCATAACCATAGAAACTATGATTGCTCTCAAAGAAAAACGAATAATAACTGGCAAGGACAATACCTGCAGGACTATTCAATAAAGGTGACCCTTTCTTTCACTATGGGGGGGAAAGCACAAACATACCACAAAGAATCAAAATGCCCAGAATGTTCTTTCTCAGACAGCTGCCTGACTCACGCCCTCATTTCCCCAGGGGTCTAGTCAAATGTCACTTATCAGCAAAGCCTTCCCTGACCAAGCTGCTTAGAAAAACAACAATCCGTACCCTGCCCTCTGGCAGCACTCCGAATTCCTTTTACCTTACTTTATTTCTCTCCATTACAATGCATCATCGGCTGATACACTCTCTAGTTACTTATTTGTTTGTCCAATATCTTACACACACGCATAAGTTAAGCTCTTTAAGGGGCTTTATTAGTTCAATTGTGTATTCCCCTTACATAGGGCAGTTATCTAACACATAGTAGGGACTCAATGAATGACTGCCATGTAAAAGAAAATTTTTTTTGTTGATTTCAGAGAGGCAGGGAGAGGGAGAAAGAGATAGAAACATCAGTGATGAGAGAGAATCACTGATCAGCTGCCTCCTGCGTGCCCCCCATTGGGGATTGAATCCACAAACAAGTATGTGCCCTGACTGGGAATGGAACCGTGACCTCCTGGTTCATAGGTCGACGGTCAACCACTGAGCCACACTGGTCAGGCTGAACTGCCATTTTTTGAGCACCTGCTTGTGCCAAGCAATTTATATCGGACAATTATTTCACAATGACCAAATATTTTTAAACACCTACTATGTCATTATTATGACAACCTATCGCTATCTCCATTTTACAGATCAGGAAACCAAAGCTCAAAGAGAGCTACGTAACTTTCCCAAGACACTCACCTCGGTCTGTCTGGTCATCAAAAGCCCACACTCCCTGCACTGTGCCAGCCAGCTTCTCAAATACCTTCCGGATGGTTAAGGTGCCAAAATGCATGTGAGGCGCATCGCTGGCAAACATGCATGACACGAGAGCTCTTCGTTTTATCACTTTTCATTGCCCACCACAGCTTTTGTCCAGGACGAAACATCCATGAGACTGGGTTTTCATCTCCCAGGGAAGACAACGCGTACCAGCTTTAGCTTCTCTTTATTCCACCCACTCAGAGTCAACGTCAGAGCTTTCCTTTTGAACTGGGCTGGGCCATGCAGATAGGTCAGGGACCCCAGGGGGGGGAAAAACCAGTTCACCTGCTCTGAGACCGCCCCAGAATTTTCCAGAATCCCTGCTTTGGTGAAGTACTGCTTCAAAACCTTCCTGGTCCTGGGAGTTAGGAAAACAATCCGCTTTAAATATATATATATATATAACCAAAAGCATAGCCTGACCTGCATTGAGTGCTTTCCCCCTTTGGTGTCAGCCTGCGTGTGTCTTCTGGGATCTGATCAAATGCCAGCTCTGGGGTGACCTGCTAAAGCCCTGCCATCCAGTGGCAGTGATGTTGATGGGTAATAAATACAATGATATGGGTCACAGACACACGAGGGACCCAGTCCCTACTGAAATCCATGCCATGTCTCATTGATGAGAGCACCGTTTACAAAAATAATCACTGCCCCGCTTCCTCTCTGCTCGCACCGCTCTCTTTTCACACTTGCATTACTGAATGTGCCACGTTCACTAATACAGGTGTTCGCCCCCACCAGGTGTGAGCTGCCGGGTTAGGGTTGGCACCGTGTTTATGTCACCTCTGCGCCCCCCAAGGATTCACCTGGCCTCTGACATATGCCAGCTGCCTGGTGTTTCTGGTGTGATTTAGTGGAGCATTGACCCATGAGAGAGGTCACCGGTTCTAGTCCAGGTCAGGGTGCATGTCCGGGTTGCGGGCTCGATTCCAGTAGAGGGTGTGCAGAAGGCAGCCAATCAATATTTTTCTCTCATCCATGTTTCTAACTCTCTATCCCTCTCCCTTCCTCTCTAAAAAACCAGTAAAATATATTTTTTAAAAGAGAGAGAGAGAGAGAGAGAGAGAGAGATGCGGAATGTGCCTGTACTGTGTCTGCTGCAGGGGCTGGGGCAGACAGGACAAGGCTCCTCTCTGGAAAGGGCAGGAAGCAGAAACATAGAAGAGACCACTGCTGACCAGAAGGACCGCTGGCAATGCCCAGATCTCCCCCAAACACACACACACCTCATCCTTCACTTGCCGCTCCCTCAACCTCAAAGCCACCCACATTTACCTCCCCAACAGGCCTTTTGTAAAAAAAAATAATAATAATAAAATTTTAAAAAATGAGCAGGCATTCTCCAGCGCCCCACCCTACCCCCATGAGAGCCCAGGGCGCCATTAAGTTACCTGTTTTGAGCTAGCTTGCATCTGTGATGTGCAGTTAAAGGTTTTGTTTCAGCAGCCCGGCTGCTGGACAGCAGAGATACCTAATAGGGGTCTGCGGAAGGAGCAGCAGTGCCTCGCTCCTCCCTGGCTAAATGCATTTGCTCACCCATCCCTGCAGAACAAATCATGTTCTTTTCCTTGCGCTGAAATCCAGCTACAAAACATACCCTCCGTGTCCCTAAGGAACCGCTCCCACTCCCGCGGAGGGCGCCCTCCACATACAGAAATGCACACTCACAAACCCGGACCCAGAGCCACTAGGTGTGTGAGTGCGTGGGGTTTATTTATTTATTTTTTTCATCTGTTCTTTTAAGAACAAACCAACAGCAAACGACGAAAATCCATCTCCCAGGAATAGAATGGAAACTCAAAGCCGCTGGCTTAGGGAAACGGAGTTAGCCTAAGTTGCAAAAACTAGGCGAGCTAAATAGTTTTCACAGGGTGCTTAACACAGCCCTTGGGGAGTGCCCCCTTCCCAGAAGCGCACAGCCTTGCGCGGAGGGCAAGTCCTGGCTTTTCCACGATCCTCCCCTTGTCTTTTGTGCCTTTACTACCCGCATTCAGAGGTACCAGCGTGTATGTTTCCGCTCCGGCAGGCGAGCCTGGGAACCCTCCAGTCCCCGCGTCCCCTGCGGGTCTGCACGCGCCGGGGCGAGCAGCGCCATCCCCTACCTGGGTGGGAAGTCCACGGGCGGAAATCCACGAGCAAGCGACCGCCACCGGGTGCCCGAGGAGCAGCGTCCGCCCTGGCGATCCCGACAGAGGCAGGAGCCCGCGGGT